ATACGCGTATCATTCTCAAATCGGGTCCTTGGGTTGATTTCTTAGGTTCGTGGCTTCCAAAACCGACCGGAGTTTCTAGCCAAATCGTTCGAGTCTCCATTGGTTTAGAGGTGTTGGGTCTAGGCAACTCTTGGGTTCACATCCGATCGATTGACGAATCGGACACCGGTAATATCTTTTTTTACTTAGTTTTTTATTTGAATTTAGTTTTAAGTTTCAGTTAGTATAGTTTAGTTACTTGGGCTGCGTCATCAATTTGGTATCAGAGCCAAGTTTTTATTGGAATTTTTATTCCGGTAGTATTAGTAGTCTTTATTTCATATTGTTAAATTATGTTAAGCTCTTTTAAATATTTGTAAGTAGCATTATCATTGTTGAGAAAAAAAATATATAAATATATTGCAAAAAAAAAAAAAAAACTGCAAAAAATTAAAAAAAAACTGCAGAAAATTAAAAAAAAAAATACTGCTGAAAAAAATAAATAAAAAAAATACTGCAGGAAATTATTTTTATTTTTATTTTTTTTAAAAAAAGCCCTCTTTGAAATACATTGTGATTTTGAGTATTGTATCCACTTGTTTATTTGTGGATATCGATTTTCTTGCGGTTGTGCTTGTTGGTTTGTTGCTATGGTTGAGTTTGGCTACTTGGGGTACACTCGTCAATTTATATTGGCTATATTCCGTGAAGTTTAGTTGGCTATAACTCGAGGGGCTTACCAAGGACCGTGAAATTTGAGCGCGTGTGTAAGACGGAGAGGTACATTACGTGGGTATACACGAGAGGGTGAGGAATCATTTATCTAACCATCTATATATATTTCCAGTATATTTTTCTATGGCAGGTGAGAGAAGTGACGAGGAAAATGATATGGCATCCGCATCAAGCTTTGACCCTAAAATGCTCGTGAAAGATATGATGGTGGAAGTACAAAGGGTACTTCGACATGAGGTTGAAGGACTCCATGCCCGAATAAATAAGTTCGAAACATCGAGGGTAGAAGGGAATGCAGCCCCTCCATGTCCGCACAATGGCATTCCACCTTTAGGACGACGACCTCCTGGGAATGCTCCAAGGCATGAACGAGTTCGTGATCTTATCGAAGATGATCGTGATATGAATGAGTATGATGGAGAAGTAGAGAGCAATGTTCCCCTTCGAGCACGACGAGGGGCACATAGGAGAGATGACAATGATCCAATTCGTTCTATGAAATTCCAAATCCCACATTTCTACGGGAAATATGATTCAGAAGCATATCTTGATTGGGAGCGGAAGATTGAGCTGATATTTGATTGTCAAGATTTGGATGGTCCACAAAAAGTCCGAGCTGCGGTCTCCGTGTTCAAAGATTATGTCATTCATTGGTGGGACAATATTTGCCTCAATCAAAGGCGAGGTAGAGCACCGATGATTCAAACATGGGAGGAGTTGACACGTGTCATGCGAGCTAAATTTGTGACGAGTTCGTATACGCAAGACTTGCATGTTCGACTGCAATCGATGAAGCAAGGAAATAGGACAGTCGATGAGTTCTACAAGGATTGGAGGTGACTTTAATGCGGGCTGATGTTCGAGAGAGTCAACAAGCCACGGTAGCGAGGATCTTGACGGGGCTGAATCGAGACATTGCTGACAAAGTGAGAATGTATCGTTTTGATGATATTGATAAATTGGTGGAACGTGCTATTACTATTGAGAAAAAATTGAAGCGTAAGGGCAAACAGAAAACATTTGGTACGAAGCCCTTCATACCAAATTATACCAAGAAGGATGACAAAACCCAAGTGGCCCAAGGGTTCGGTAAAGGAAAATGTATTATCAAGGATGACACGCCACGGAACAAGCATGTTGGAGCTGATCCGGAGAAGCCGAGGAATCGAGATATCATTTGCTTCAAGTGTCAAGGTCGAGGCCACATTTCAAGTCAATGCCCAAACAAAAAAACGATGATCTTCAATAAGTTTGGGGAATACGAAACAGAATCTGAAAATGAGGAGGGGGTTGATCAAAGAGTAAATGAGGAAAATAACACGGATGATGACTCTGATTCTGGTGTTGGTTTGAGTTTGGTTACCTTACAAGCCTTAAGCACTATGTCAAGGACCTTTGATGAGGAACAACGAGAAAATATCTTTCAAACTCGTTGCATAATTGGAGGCAAAGTGTGTAGCCTCATTATTGACAGTGGGAGTTGCACAAATATTGTAAGTAAACTTGTTGTTCGAAAATTGAATTTACTAACAACACCCCACCCCAAACCATTCAAATTGCAGTGGGTTAGCAGTTGCGGAGAGTTGAATGTGAACAAGCAGGTGACGGTTCCTATCAAGATAAAAAATTATGAGGATGAAGTCGTATGTGATGTGCTACCGATGCAAGCTTGTCACATATTACTTGGGAGACCATGGCAGTTTGGTAGAAATTTTTATCATGATGGATATTTGAATAGATACTCATTTGAGTTTGGGAGTAGAAAGATATGTTTGAAGCCGTTGTCTCCAATGGATGTCCATGAGGACCAACTCTACTTGCATCGTCAATTTTTGGAAGAAGCCAAAGAAAAGAGAGAAGGAAAAAAGAGTGAAAAAAATAAGAGTAAAAAAAGTGAGCATGGGAGTGAGAAAAGTGAAAGCAAAAAAAATAAGAGTGACAAAAGAGAGCAAGTGAGTGAACAAAGCAAGAGTGAGCTTGAAAGAAAAATGCTTGTGAGCTTGAGAGAGGCAAAAAATTTGAAAGTTCACGAGGGAAGTTCCTATTTACTTTTGATTAAACCTGTTTATTTGTCTAAGCAAGAGCTAATGGAACTCCCTTCCAATGTTGCTTCTCTTTTGCAGGAATATCAAGATGTGTTTCCTGATGAAGTAACCGGAGGATTACCACCTATTCGGGGCATTGAGCATCAGATGGATCTCATTCCGGGTGCATCAATCCCAAATCGTCCAGCTTACAAGGCAAGTCCAGAGGAAGTCAAGGAAATACGTAAGCAAGTGGATGAGTTTCTTGACAAAGGCTGGATTCGCGAAAGCCTAAGCCCTTGTGCTGTACCGGTTCTTCTTGTCCCAAAGAAGGATGGTGGATGGAGGATGTGCATCGCTTGTCGAGCCGTAAATGCCATAACGGTAAAGTATCGACACCCTATCCCTCGTTTAGATGATATGCTAGATGAACTGCATGGGTCAAAATACTTTTCTAAAATTGATTTGAAAAGTGGATATCATCAGATTAGAATGAGGGAAGGTGACGAATGGAAAACTGTATTTAAAACTACATTCGGCTTATATGAGTGGTTAGTCATGCCTTTTGGCCTTACGAATGCTCCAAGTACGTTTATACGGTTAATGAATCATGTATTACGTACTTTCATAGGGAAGTTTGTTGTGGTTTACTTTGATGATATTCTCATTTATAGTAAATCAATGGAAGAACATGTAGAGCATATTCATAGTGTTTAGGAAGTGTTAAGAGCTGAAAAGCTTTATGCTAACCCGAAGAAGTGCGACTTTTGTGTCGACAAATATATTTTTCTTGGTTTTGTTGTAGGTGCTGAAGGAATAAGTGTGGATGAAGCTAAAAAACAAGCTGTTCGGGATTGGCCAACACCTAAAATGATCAAGGAAGTTCGTAGTTTCCTTAGACTTGCAAGCTTTTACCGCCGCTTTGTGCGAGATTTTAGCTCCATTGCAGCACCACTGACTGAGCTTACAAAGAAAGATAAACACTTTGATTGGGGAGTTTCTTAACAAGCATCTTTCGATTTGCTTAAGAGAAAACTTACTAATACTCATGTTTTAGCTCTACCGGATTTTACTAAGCCATTTGAATTGGAATGTGATGCCTCAGGAATTGGGATTGGAGCTATTTTGATGCAAGGAAAGAAGCTGATTGCGTACTTCAGTGAGAAGCTGAGTGGGGCTGCCCTCAACTATTCGACGTATGACTGAAAATTGTACTCGTTGGTTCGTGCACTTCAAACATGGTAGCACTATTTGCGATCACAAGAATTCATTGTTCACACTGACCATGAATCATTAAAGCATTTAAAGAGTTAAAAAAAGCTTAGCAAGCGGCATGCAAGATGGGTAGCATTCGTGGACACATTTCCTTACTCGATTCAGTACAAGAAAGGAAAGGAAAATGTTGTAGCTGATGCGCTATCAAGGAGGCATGGGTTGCTAACCTTGTTAGAATCTAAGCTTATGGGATTTGCATTCATAAAAGATATTTATGTGAATGATGTTGATTTTTCTGATATCTTTGCAAAATGTGCTACACATGGCTTTGGTGATTATTACTTGCATGATGGGTATTTATTTCGTGTGAATCGTTTGTGTGTACCTAGGTGTTCACTTCGTGATGTGTTAGTGGTTGAGGCACATGAGGGAGGCTTGATGGGTCATTTTGGGTGTGATAAGACATTGAGTGCATTGCATGAATACTATTATTAGCCTAAAATGAAGCATGATGTTGAGTCTTATGTGAATAAATGTGTTGTTTGTAAGATTACAAAGTCACATGCACAACCACACGGTCTATACACACCCTTACCTATTCCAGAAGCACCATGGACTGATATTTCAATGGATTTTGTTATGGGATTACCTAGGTCTAGGAGAGGAAATGATTCGATTTTTGTCGTGGTTGATAGATTTTCAAAAATTGCACACTTCATTGCATGTAAGAAAACCAATGATGCATCTCCTATTGCAGATCTATTCTTTCATAATGTTTTGAAATTGCATGGTGTCCCTAAGACAATTGTGTCGGACATGGATACAAAGTTTCTTAGTTACTTTTGGAATACACTTTGGGCTAAATTGGGAACTAAGTTGCTATTTTCTACATCTCATCATCCCCAAACGGATGGTTAAACTGAAACAGTGAATAGAACCTTAGGGAACCTACTTCGTGTCTTGATAAAAAAGAATTGCAAAAGTTGGGAAGAATGTTTGCCTCACGCTGAATTTGCTTATAATCGTACGTTGCATTCTTCGACACACATGTCTCTTTTTGAGGTTGTTTATGGCTTTAATGCTCTAACACCTTTGGATATGTTACCATTGCCTAGCAATGAGTATTTTAATAGTGGTGGCAGGAAACGGGCTGAATTTGTGAAGGAGATGCATTCAAAGGTTCGGGATAACATTGCAAAATCAAACGCTCGGTATGCTAAAAGTGCTAACAAAGGTCGAAAGCATGTAGTGTTCCTTCCAGGCGAATGAGTATGGTTGCACTTGAGAAAAAGTAGATTTCCCGAGAAACGGAAGTCTAAGCTGAGCCCAAGAGGAGACGGGTCATTCCAAGTTGTGGAACGCATCAATGACAATGCATATCGTATTGAGCTACCGGGTGAGTACCAAGTTCATAGCACATTCAACGTTGCTGACTTAAGTTCTTTTGATGTAGGAGATGAACAGACTAAGAAAATGGGGGACTCAATTTTTCAAGAAGGGGGGGATGACAAGGTCGTCAAAAGCGATGATGAACCTACACTACCACCAGGTCCGATTACTCGAAACCGTGCCAAGAAGTTTCAAACTAATATTATGGCATTAATTCTATACTTGGAAAAGGAGAACATGCATAAAGTTGAAGCATGGAGGCCAATAGGAAGAGCGTTATCAACATTGGAGTGCATCCACCCTTGAAGACCACAATTTATAACACCGATTGGAGTTTCTACTCACATCATTACCCATGTGGGATAAGAGATGTTTTATTTTATTTCATAAAGTGGGTCCCATCAATCTAATTAATTGGGCATCTCTTATTTACTTAATTAGTGGGATATAAATAATATATTTTTTGTCCCACATTGGTTGTAGAGTCTTTTTCCAAGCTAGCCTCCTCTATAAATAAGACACTTGGGTTCACTTGTTAGACACCTTGAAAATTATATCAATTAAAGTTTCTCTTTATTCCATTATATTGGAATTAGTGTGTGAGCGAGGGTTACCCTTGCATACGCATATCATTCTCAAATAGGGTCCTTGGGTTGATTCCTTGGGTTCATGGCTTCCGAAACCGACCGGAGTTTTTAGCCAAATCGTTCGAGTCTCCATTGGTTCAGAGGTGTTGGGTCTAGGCAACGCTTGGGTTCACATCCGATCGATTGACGAATCGGACACCGGTAATATCTTTTTTTTTTGCTTAATTTTTTATTTGAATTTAGTTTTAAGTTTCGGTTAGTATAATTTAGTTAGTTGGGCTGCGTCATTCATGCACACCACTCTGCTCCCATCTTCTCAACTCAAAATAAACTTTTTTCCTCAAATTGCTCGCCAACTCAGCCGTAGTAATTGTAGGATGAGTCTAGTGAATAAACAACAGAGTCGAGCAAACTTTGCAATTTTATTAAGAGAAGATGATGGAAGTGCTACATCAGGTTCATGATTGAAGACGAACTAGAAAAATATGGCAAATATTGTGTCAATGATTGGGTAATTCAATTTTTTTTTGGTGAGTTTCCTCAAATCTCATAGGAAATTTTATATTTTTGTCGTAGTGAATTATGTTAGCAAATGAGTTGAAACAACCTACTCTTCCCACCAATGTTGCAATTTAGGTTAAGGAATCCGTACAAAAAAATAAAATATTTTCTCATGATTTGGTGTTTGAAGGTCCTTTGTTAGCGGCAAAGTCACCCATTTTGTTTATCGGTGATTCACCACACTTATCACGAGGTACAATGTTTGTCATAGCCTCGCCACCCTCTACCACCGATTATCAAATGACCTAGTTGAAGTGAGAAATCATGAGATGAAGTATATCTTGAAAACCACTGTGAATAAGAATAAAAATATTGGTTCTAAATTTGGATGATACACTTTAGGCCTATCATATATACTATCTTCAATATACACCAATAGGGATGTCATTGTTTCTCCTTGTATACGGGAAGTCCTGCCCTCTACCATTCGACTTGGAGAAATTTCTTAATAAGGTACTTAGATTTTTGAATTTTGAGCTTCTACCAGCTCAAGATAAGCGAAAGAACTATTGGATGGATTTGGACGTGTTTTGTTTTATCCAATAAGAGAATGGAAAAATCTAGATAAGGAAGCATGTATCTACCATCATAAAGTAATCCGCCCCAAGCACTACACCAGAGGAGATGGAGTCCTACTCTACAATTACATATTGCACTTATTCATAGGAAAACTTAAATCGTGATGGATTGGGCCATCAATAATGAAACAATTTCTACTTATGGAGCAATGAAAATCTACAATTCAAATTCCTGAGATGATCATTATGGGTCCAATCTGATTTGTTTGAAAAATATATATCAAAGGATTCTCCATGTTCCAAGATTCGAGAACTTAGGATCTAAATCTTTCAACTGCGAAAGATGCAAATTCTACACCCAATTAACAATTGTTGGAGGATGAATAGTGATTTTGTGTGAGCAGGAGAAGATCCTTACAGAAAATTGTATTGTTCACAACATCGTTTTTTGCCCACCCTACTGAAAACTTATAACAAACTTTTCACCTAGTAAACTTAATTTTCTAGAGTAGTTAAATGTAAGGCTTATTTACCTTGTTGTTAGTTTGAATGATTTGTATGTTTATTTCTCTGAGTTTCACATTTTACGAGACTACCCTTGCAACATTGTAAAATAAAGGGTACGCCACTTCTGAATTATTTACATTTTGCAAGGATGAATAGTGGTTTAGTGTGAGCAGGAGTAGATCCTTAGAGAAAATTGTATCCTTCCCCCATGCCCAGCAACCTCACGCCGTTGTGACATCGCCCGCCGTGCCTCAAGCCACTCTGTGAACTGCTGACGACCACCGCCCTAATCCTTAATCCTTATATTGGGTAATATCTCTAATCTATTTGTCTAGTACTTGTAATTCAATCTTCGGAAAAATTTCACCAAGGGCTATTGTGATTAGTATTTGAGATTGCAAGTTGGATTTGAATTTGTTCAAATTACAGGAATTTGATGTGAATTTAGGTTTTTATTAGTTCGATTCTACTTCCATTTTGGTATATCTTGCTTGGGTTGATGCTATTGGCACTATGAATTGATGCTATTGATAATTGGACAATTGAGCTTGATTTATTGAACTTTTGTGCCTAAGAGTTGATTATTTTGTGAATTTCATCCCTGTAGCAACTAGTAGCTTGCCAATTGATTGTGATATTAGAATGCTGGGAAATAATTGAAGAATGCAAAGGGAAATAAAAACAAAGCGTGTTGTGTTTGTGATCTACCAAATAGAAAAAGATCAATATTTAATTTGTAGAATGGTTAACGAAAACTTTGAATACATAGGAAAGTGTACAGTCTTTATCAAAACAATGCATGTTTTTTCTATAGCTTCTTTGGATCATGTGGTACCATTCTTTTAAGCTATTTTAAGAGCAATATTTAGTTTTTATTGTGAAATGTTATGTTGTTTCCCAGGTTGTCGTGATATTGAAAATTTGTCATTTATGTATGAATGGTTGCAATGACTTCAAGACATTCTACATGCAGGTAAGTATTTTGGCAGGAGTAACTTAATACGCAAACTTGCAAATTGCTTCTGCTTCATGTTTTGGCTTCCTGCATTTATTATTATCATTATTAAGTTAACTTCTTCAAAACAGTTTCTTCTTCTTATTATTAAGGTTACTTCTTGAAGATGGTTTTTGTCTCTCGATGTAATTAATTTTGTGGATGTGTATCTTGTCCCCATTTGCGAGTGGCTGGTTTCCCAATTAATCTGTAGAATTTTTCTTTGATGTGTATGGGTTTCTTGCAGTAGTTCATCAGCCCATTTGTTTGATTTGGCTTATTTGTAGCAACCTTGTTTAGTACCAACTTTAGATATTTGGAGCTTAAAACAACACAATTTCATGTTAATGGTAATTCTAACATAATACCCTTACGACTTTCTTCTATATGTGCTAGAGGTACGGTTTTAGTTAGAGAGGGGAAAGATGCTCTACCCAAAATTTGAATTCGTACAAGGTGAAATTCAAAGTTTAGGCCAAAAAAACTCATAGACACAATCTCTATTTTTATGAACCTTTTGATAAACACTGTACACTTGCTACAGTTTAAATCAAGTGTCTTACAATAATCAAGTTTCTGTCACTGATTTTGCAAAAACTTGTCATACTCTTTCACTATTTTTGCACCTCTTTTTGCTCCAATTGTCTTTGTCTTGGTATCATTAATAGTTGTTGCATCATTAACCTTGGAATACGCCTGATAAAGGGCATCCTAAATTGCCTTAGATGTAGAAGAAACATGTTTTTATCATTATTCTTAAGTATCATGGCATTCCATAACCAAGAAATAATCATTAAGTTATTTTCTTCCCATGCTTCAAGTCTTGCCGTTCCAGCATCTGGTATTGTTGCAACATATGGCTCAACTTTCCTTTTTCCTTTCACAAATGTTCGAACATATTATGTGGCTTTGTCCTACATTGGTTTGTTTTAAAGTTTTAAGTAATAGTTGTCCCACATTGCTTGTGGTGACAAAGTTGCCATAAGTCTTCTAAAAATTTGTAGTCTTGGGTTGGGTTTTAAGATACACCAAAATTAAACAAATAGTCTTTCCATATATATTTGTGCGATACTTGTTTTGTCTTGAGGGTGTTTTGGGAGATTGAGAGTTGTGGGTGTCAGAATCGTTATTCGAGCCAATTTTGTATTCCTCTCTTGATAGTGAAAGTTTGCTCCGTCTTTGCCCGTGGATATAGGTCATCTTGACCGAACCATGTATATTCTTATGCCGTTTAAATTTCTTGTTCTTATTTTTGTCAGTGTTAAGATTCTGCAAATATTTGTTTGGGGCCATAATCCTAACAAATTGGTATCAGAGCACTTGCTATATTTGTGGGAATCTTTTTCACCACACAATTACAATCACAAGGACGTTAGTGGAGAAATTTGACAGAAATGTCAACTTTGGGATATGGCAGCTCAAGATGGAGGCTATTTTTGTTCAAGGTGAAGTCGATTTGGCTATCCAGGGTATTGAAAAATGCCTAAGGATATGGAGAAGTCCATATTTTTGGAGTTGGATAAGAAGGCTCGTTCGAGTATTATCTTAAATCTCTCTGATGAGGTTTTGCGGGAGGTTATAACGGAGACTTCGGCTAAGGCAATGTGGGATAAGCTTAAGGCCTTATACATGAAGAAGTCTATTGAGAATCGTCTGTACCTAAAGCAAAGCCTTTATATGCTTCGAATGGAGGAAGGTCCATCATTGCTCTCCCATCTTGATAATTTTGATTCCATTATTATGGATCTAAAAAATATTGATTAAAAGATAGATGATGAGGATAAGGTGTTGCTACTTTTGTGCTCATTACCCCATTCTTTTAAGAATTTTTGTGATACTATGATTTATGGGAAAGAACATATTTTTTAAAGAATAAGAATGATGTTTTCCTAGCTTTCCTAACAATATCTATTTGCTTATATAACCTCTAAAGTACACCTACGTACTATGCTTATTAATTGCTTGTAATGCAAGCAATGGCGCAACCAATATTATGGTATTATAATGGTTCTTATATAACCTCTAGAGCACACCGACTTTCTATGTTTATTAATTTCTTGTAATGCAAGAAATGGTGCAATCAATATTATGGTATTTTAATGGTTCTTGAGTCTCTGTACAATCAGATAATGTAATCTA